AAAATGATAAAATATAATATAATAGTTAATAAAAATTGACAAATATTTATAATCATTGATTTATCGATAGTTCATCAACTATATATGGCGCGTTTTTGATCGGAGGCACCGGTTGACCTGAAGTGATGCTGTGACCGCGCGCTCTAAGCCCTCTATCTCGAAAACGGTTCACCGTATGAAAAAAAATTTTAAACAAAATTTGTAGAAAATTTTGTATTCTACAATATTGATAATAAATACCAATAGCAAAAAACCCATAGACCCAACTTTTAGGGTGTCAATATACAAGTATTTACAGACTTACAGCTGGGTATCTGAATTTCGAGGTGAACTTACTATAATGACTGGACTATAATACATTCATAATTTGATTTGAAATATACATTCAACATATGTTCCCAGAACCACAAGCCAGCTGGATACTTTTCAATGACAGCAGATTGATTGTGAAACATCGACAACACACACCGCTGCAACCCATAGAAAGTGGTCGCCAATTTCAAAATGGGAAAAACTTATTTTAGTTTAACATCTAATTTGAAGCAAACAATTAGCGCATTTAACTTATTCTTATGTGATTTGTACAGCCTGAATTGCCTTTTCAATGTTGTATATGGCAACTCTGATACTCAGTGAATCCTATTTTTTCAATTTGTATTTCAGGAACAGCTCTTATCAAATTAAAAATACACATTCGAGTATGTAATAAATTAGCAGTTAATACCGATATTTTTTGGTAATTACTCAATATTGTTGTTCCTATATTCTCTGATTTAATCAAACATTATTACGTATGGGATTTGTATCTTTTTTCATCATTTCTATAGACTAAAACAATAATGAATTTGTAAAAACATTACAAAGGAAAATTCATTCAAAAAATATAGTAATGCCTTTAAATTACACTAATTAACATTAGTGGTTCATTTTTTGCAATTTACTCTGGCATTTCCCTTCGTGCATAAAAGTTTAATGGCGCATAACAAATTTGCTTATATGATAACTTAAACGTTTCAAAAAACCTTTTTTTATTTGTAAATTTTTCACGTGTAAATGATTTACTAGGGTATGCTTACTGCCTGGTAAATATTTTATTGTGCGAGGAGTAAACAGTTTTATTACAAAAGCCGTTAGAAACAGTTTTGTGTCAGTATGAGCTCTACTGAAATGACAAAATGCATAAAATGGTGATGATGGTGTGTTCATAGCATATTTATTGTCTCTACTTGATTGCTACAGTACAAAGCTTTTATTTTTTCCCAGAGGCTTCAATCACTAGCTTCGCTAAGCCTTCATAAACAATTCCTTATAACTTCACTTGATAAAATTATTTTTGTAATCAATAAAACATGCTTTATACATGATTAATTATATAACTATTACATTCATGTGTTGTATTACATAGAGTCCCCAAGCAAATTGTTTACATTGCAAGAGTGCCAGAGGTTATAACAATTTCGTCCCTCTACTTCTCTTTAAGTAGAATCGACAGAATAATATATTAATTCCTCACGGCATGAACGAAGAAGGAATATATTAATTCAAAATTTAGCGCGTTGCGAGATTAAATTTACTATGATTATCGTACATACTCTTCGCATGAACATTTATCCCGTAGTGAACTAATATAAAATCAAGAAATATAATCACGTCGGAGTTCACGTGCATCACGTCGATTCCAGTCAGTTCTCCAGTCTTACCACAGATATCCCAATTTCAGTCTGCGAATGCTGAGTAGTCGATGGCAGACTGCCGAAACCGTTCGCATCTCGTTTTTCTTCAGAAAACTTCTGCCAATTGGCGTTTAACAAAAGCTGTAGCTTACAAGTATATTAAGTGAAACATATTAATAAGGTTCTTCTAACAACGTTTAATAATATATAATATCTCTTAGTGTCAAAATAAATAAAAACATTAAACTTGTATACATGCTTTATACACATATAAAAAATATTGTAACTTATTTCTTAGGCTTCAAGCTGATGTTAATTTCTTACGCACCGTATTACATTTTTTGCAGCAAAATATGTCACCCTAAAACTCCTGTATACTTGTACATACATACTATACTTTGAACAGCTAAAGTTTTAAAAATATTTGCGTAAATAGAATGAAAGTCGGCCAAAATGTCAAATAACTACCTGCCACATGTTTTATGCATGAAAAGTTATGGCATACACAAAATGAGTTTGTTTTAGCAAAACAACCAAATGCGTACAGATTTTAACACACACAAATAAACATTGACAAACAAAAAATTTTTAATTACAAAAATAAACCATTATTGGTTCCAGTTTTAATAATAAAGACTAACATAACAACTGTGACATTTTAACCGTAATGGCACACAAATATGCAACACAAATATATACATATATATGTATATACCATATATATACATACCGCATAGATATACCTATTAATAGCTACGAAATTGTAGGTGTATATTATTACTATTGTAATGGAGTGGTAGTTAAAAGCGAAACTTGAAGTGGTGATTTGGTTGACTGCCACCTGCATCGCTGTTTGTTTTTAGAATCCCATGAAATCTGCAACATTAAAATGTCTACCTACTCACAATTATCAAAAAGTCATTAAAGTCATATTCGCCTTTTGCGCTCACTATATATTATACATTGCAGTTGAGTACATCCGAAACTCCACAGCTGCTTCAAATGGTATAATGGAGAAACGATGTTGGCTTGCAATCGGTCAATCAACCGTCCAATCCTTGCTGCAGCTCACTTCATATATGCTTTCTTATCTGTTTGTTTGTTCTTGCCGTTTGCTTATTCCTGCTCACTACTCACTGTTGAATCCCTAGCACCCACACATTCGCACATACACACATATAGCAATGTCATTGACAGTTAGCCCGTTGTGCTCCTCTCGCCCTCTCTTCTTGTGGGTATGGGCGAGTTTTAATTACTTAATTTTTATGACATGCACATGTAAATTTTACAGTAAATAAATTTCAATGGACATTTTATGCTTTTGAAATTTGACATTATGTTACATTGCGTTACATATTCCGTTATGGTTGCGTTGTCTTCCTGGGCCCCCTTGCTGATTGGCCGGACGCTGTGCTGTGTTTGGCTATCAAATTTTATGGCGCATACTTTATGTGGCGTAGTAACAACGACGCGTAAGTAGGGAGAACAGTTGCTGAGCTCATCAGCGGAATGTGAAGCATAAAATTTGCAAGGGTGTAATGTACTTACAACTTATAAAAAATAGCACATGGAAATAAAATTAATTTAAATACTTTTGAAAGAATGATATAAATGCAGAAGTGCTGTAACTTAATGTTTGAAATAATAGAGAACACTTACTTCGTAGAAAACTTTAAGAATTAGTACGGTATTTTGAATCCTTGAAGCTTCAAATACGCACTAGTTGCATCACTGGATAACTAATCGCTTACTGGAGACTTAGGTATGAACGCTTAGTTCCACTAATCTAGACAAATCTGTACTTATAATAGCCTAAACGGTTAAAATAAGCACAAAAGGTGTAATGGGTTAACTAATTACTACAAGTATTAATCAACTCCAATTTAACCAGAGGCCTTTTCGTCATGCTATCTTATCGAGTTAAAAACCTTTCCTTCTGTGGTTTTTTAAGTACGAGATATCGATATAACCAGCATACCCCTCTAGACTTAGTTCCACTCCTAGAATTACATTCTGCAACGTTAGATCGAAATCATATCTTGTCCGCTCGTATATTGCATGAAAGTCAAATTTTTTCTCAAACTATAAGTAGATTTTACTATATATTTTGTCAAACTCTTAACAACATTTCAAATAGCTCATTCGGTACTCCATGAGCAACCGTAACATTATTTTTTGTCAAATATCTTTTATACGGACCCAAGTATTATAATAATGATGACGATGCTCAGCAACTTGGCTATAAATAAATCGAGGCCTTTTCAAAATCTTTAATACTGAACAAACAGTACGTGCCTTCATAGTTATATATTGACAGTTTTATAAATTGACAGGAGAGAGTGCCGTATTTTAGACAGACGACAGACGCAAGTAAATTATTAAAAGCTCTGGAAAGACAGTCAACATGCTATTGATCTAGAGACGAACTAACCGCTGAATTGGAAAGCTGTGGAGGATATGTGTTTTCGTCTAAGGCAAGCCAAAATCGAGGAATGATAAAATTAAAAAAGTGAAAACTTAACTGTTAAATAGTGAAAAGCTCTCATTTTACAGCTTCTTAAGATAGAACTTATTGATTTTTGATATTTATTATGACTACAAATTTTCAACAGAACAAGAATAAACGTTAATTTCGGTTGCACCGAAGCTATAATACCCTTCACAAATACAAAAGTTTCCATAGTAAAACTTGATTCCGATCATTTAGCTTGCATGACAGCAATATGCTATAGTGATTCGATCTGAACAATTTCTTGGGAGCTTCTATTATTTCCTTAGATAATGATCCGTATGATCCGTTCAAAATTTCATGGGGATATCTCGTCAAATAAAAAAGTTTTCTATACAAGAACTTGATTCCACTTGTTCATTTTTTATGGCAGCTATATGCTATTGTGGTCCGATATCTGCCATTTCGAAAAGTGAGCTTCTCGGTGTGAAAAGGTTATATGCTCAATTTAAAATCGATATCTCAAAAACTGAGAGACTTGTTCGCGTATATACAAACGTACGGACGGGCAGACAGACGGAGATCACTGAATCAAGTCAGCACATCATGCTGATCACTTCTGTATATATTTTATAGGATCTCCGACGTTTTCTTCTGGATGTTACAAACTTCGTGGCAAACTAAATATACCCTGTTCATGGTATAACAAGTCTCCAGCATACGGCCCTCTACCGAATCCCAAGCGAGATTACTAACTGTCTGTATCGCATCTGCTACTATATATATCAACGTGTTCTGGTATTGTCAACTTTGCACCTCATGCTTGTTTGCACCATCTCCGTGCGGCCGTACTTTATGCTATGTTCTTCTCTTTGCAGTTACACCAAAGCATGGACCGCAAATCACCGGTGGCCAGCCGCGCTACCAAATTGATGACATTGTGCGCGTGAATTGTACATCGGCGCCGTCCAAACCGGTATGTCATCTCAGTTGGTTAATTAATGGTGTACATGCGAACCGGACATTCCTGCGGCCATACGATCCCATAATTGTCGGACGTGAGGGCTTGGAGGTGGCGCGACTGGGATTGGAATTCCGAGTGCGTAAAAAATTCTTCAAACATGGTGACATGAAATTGAAAGTGAGTTAATTAGCATATATATATATTTACAAATGGTAGTTGTTGTATTCAATTTATTTTTAATTACTGACTTTCTGAGCAATATTAACTAGCATACTCAGATATCAGAAATTGATACCATTGCTGGATGTTATTCATTACAAAAACAGATTAGTGAACGAACCTAATTACTTTTACAGAGGCAGTGCGATTTAACTACCAAAGCTGATAATTGATATATAGTACCTACCCATCAATTACTTAAGAGCTCCACTTGCACTTAAAGTACATTATGAAAAGCAGATAACTTAGCCTCCAAGTCGATTTCGGGTTAAGCACGTTTAATTTGATTGCAATAAGCTATAAAAAAGACAACAATTTGGCTTAATTGCAACAAAAAACTTCGGATTCTCTAAAAAAGCTAAAGCATTACAATAAATACATATTCAAAAAAATTTCAAAGTAGTTCAAAGTACATACATATTTTACTTCAAAGTTTGCTACAAGGGGCATATTCTACCATTCTATGTTTTAAACTATCTAATTTAATACCGCACAGCTTTTAAAAAGGCCTAACCCTAACAATTTTAATTTAATGCATTTCATCTCATCTGAAATGAAAAATATGGTGTCGGTAAAACTCGTTTGCTGAATTTGACTGACTTAAACGCTTTGAGACTGTAGCGCGAACACTTTTTTTGTCATTTTATGGCAATTTAATAATTTCTTTAGGGCTCTAAAGTCGACTTTAAGTCAAGCCAAATTTTTAGATTTATCATTCATAAATCATAGTCTGATTCCTAGGCATTTTAAGAATTGACTGTTGTAGTTATATACTTACTGTTAGTGTATTATGTATTTACGAAATCTCTGTAAAACACTTATTTTTAATAATATTTAAAATATTATTAATATTTACTTTGTTTTGGTAATGTATTCATAGCCCAGTTCGAGTCGAATTGAAAATTTCTTAAATACTTTTGTATTATTGTAAGTAAAATCCGGGAAAAACTGCTATTCGAAAATCATTTAAATTTGAGATCGTAAATACTAAAGCTTAGCTTAGACACTATCACGTAACTTAATTATCAATCTTCAGAAAAATACATACTTATGTACCTGCATTCACTAAATGACACCCAAATAACAATCGTTTTACCAACGCACAACAAATACGGACTGTACTCTGTTCCAGAGGACGCTGTTTATTTGAACATACGAGTATACAATGTTTGTTTGTATACAAACTCACACACACGAATTGCTAACGAATATGACCAAGGCGTGAGGTTGCCTTTAAAACGCACAGCGCATATTTGTATTTGTATTGCGGTTGTCCGCACGCTTGGCGGCAATTGTGTTAACAGGATTCTGTGAGTCATTAAAGTGCGTGGCAAATCCCAGCGTCCACATATGTGTCATTCTACTCCATACTCGCTGAACGTGCCGGTCAGCATGGCATATACGCAACACTTACTTATAATAGCACACTAGGCATATAAATGTTATGAATGTATGTACATATGTATGTGTGTGGTGTTGGAGATGCCTGCAATGTTTACACTGAGTTTTCTTTTATTACTTTTCACTTGTTTGCTATAGTAATAAAAGTGGGCCAGTGAAATGTGCAAGTATATAAAAGGAAATTTGTGAACACCACGTTGAATGTTTTTCACTTTATATCGTCTGTATGTTGGGGGTATTTGTGTAACTTAGTAGCTGTCGAAATGGAGAAATTTATTTTCGTAACTTTGTTTAGTGGCAATGCTAGATAAGTAAATATCAACAAGTGAAGGAATACACAACAGTATACGTTTGTGTGCATGTGTATATGTGCTGTAATAAATATTTATTTATGTGTGTGTATATATGTGTATCGGACCAGAAATATATTAGTGCGCGATTGCGTCGGCGTAATTGAATTATATTATATTTCCCACATCCTTCTATTTATTCAATTGTTTAAATAATTGTGTACTTGTTCTTGTATTGCTCTCTAGTGTGTAGCAAAAATATCATCGGTATATTGGCAGAGCAATGAAGAGAGCGTGGCACATGAGAAACACCAGAAGATACCCGTACTAGAATCGCGCGAAACCGTTGTGGCGAAGTCACGATTGCGTGACAAAGCATTAGATGGTGAGTTTTACAATACATACATATGTATACATTTACATATAGTATATTTATTAGAAAATTTTAAACTAATTAACAGTGCAGGATTTTACATTTTTTGCCATTATTTTATGCACTCACTTTACATTTAAACTTATGCTGATTACCCAGCCAATTACTTATACCTTTACGGTTTTTCATTACAGATAATCAACATAAAGACGCCGGCACATCATCAGCAGCTACATCATCGGCGGCAGTGTTCTTGCCATTAGCGGCACGTAGTTCGATACTTTTGCATATCACACCCACACTGCTGCTGCTCGCGCTGCCCGACTTAGCAGCCATGCTGCCACTGTTAATAACATTTCTGAGTCAATATTGGCAATTTAATATTTATGTGCGCCAACCAAGCTATCGATTGCCAGCATGTCACGGCTGCAGCAGCTACTGGCGTTGGTCGCACAGCTTTCGAATCGTTTGCAGATGACAATTAGCTGTGGCATATTAAATAGGACCGCAAGCAATGACAGTTGCAGTGGCAGTGGCAGTGGCAGCGACAGCAAGGAGACTGCTCGGTCATCGTCATTGATTAGTATAAATTGTTGCAGATTAATATAATTTTTTTCGTTGTCAATTAATTGTTGATATGTTCGTCTCTAGTTGGGTAGAATTATTAGCACCGTAACCGCTTAATAACTGTGTGAATATGGGAAAGAATGATGGCAAGGAAAGTGAGATGAAGGAAAACATTTGTGACTTTTATTGACTTAGTTTTAATAGAGAAAAATAATTAGTGGAGAAAGAGGAAATGAAATTAAAACCTAATTAGCTGAACCTTGCCAATTTAAAACATATAATTTTGAAGATGAAGCTTAGAATGATGGAAAGATATTTGGAATAACTGAGGAGAGTTAATTGAAAGGTCTCACTTTTCTACATAGTCCTGAGATCGTTGAATATTAATTTAAAGCCCACAAAAATTAGCAGAGTTTAAAGATGTAAGTTTAAAATCAAAATTTTAAGATATTAAAAAATAGTTCAAAATTTTTTTTTATTTAAAATTCTTTTTTTAAGTTATTTATTCCACATTTAATAATAAACTTTGCTTAATATTTTTTTTTAAAGTTCGATTCAATAATTTTACCTTCCAGTAAGGTTTTTTTCCCAATATCATATAAAATATAGAAAGTGTTGCAAATGTGCCAAGTTTTGCAGACATTATTTGACATTTATTTATTTATTCAATTTAGATATAGTATACAAATATAATATAATATATAAAAAAGGAGAACACTGGCTGCCAGGGCCTACGGCTCAGTTATGCGAAATGGTATTGTTATTATTATTATGTTATATTATGGTGTTTGTCACGTGCACAATTTATTTATTTTGATTTATGTATATTTTTTATTATATTTTCTTGCTTAAGTCTAGTTCCTTGAAAAATTAGTTTATTCATTCGATGTTTGTTTTTGTGATGATTGTAAGTAAATCTCTTTCCTGAAGATTCTTTCTCGCCTGGATTTTAGTTTTTTACAGTCGTGGATTAGGTGATCTGTGGATAATAATCCTTTGCAGAAGGGACATGGTTTTTTGGGAGTCAAGAGGTGTACGTGTGTCAATTTACTTTATCCCATTATTGTAGAGTGCTGCCTTGGGGTTGTTTTTGGGTATGTTGCCCTTGTGCCCTTTGGATTTAATGTAACGTATCGATGGGAAATATTTATTAGTGTTATTAGTAAGAACTCTCTTAATTTTTAGTACAAATATTCATAATCGCTTTTAAAAAAATCTGAGTTAGTACAAGCATACCAACGCTTAAATCAGTTTCCCATACACTTGTTAAAAGCCTCGGCTGGTAGGGCCCTTAATGCCTTCAGCGCATTCGCTGATTTTTCAGTTTCGAAAACAGAAAAGAGCTATAGATACCCAAATTTTCAAATACAATGGCTGAGCGATGTCTCTCATTTCGTATTTGATTAAATATCATGCTAGAATGTGACGGCGCATTATGGTGGGGAAAAACCCTGCATTTTTGGCTCGTAAATCCTGTCGTTTACGACCAATTGCATCAAATTGAATGTAGAGTACTCAGCTGCGATGTCAAGCATTTATTTTGCGGCCTCTACTTTACTCAAAAGATTCAGGGATTATGGTACGACTTAACATTGACACGTCTTATATCCAAAACATTAACCAAAGATTTTGATCCGATCCCTAAGAGATGTTAAAATTATCTTCTATCTCTCTGGTGCCAGCACAACCAAGCACTGTTTCTTTAACTTTTTCGACGTTATTGTTATAAGCAAAGGTGGATGGACGATTCGCATGAGACAAGTCTTAGATGGCTTCACGAATGCTATGTGTCACTCAAAGACTTGTGTTCGTCATAAAGTAGACACTCAAAAACACTTCTCCAACATTTTCAATTATTTTAGCCGTAATTCTATTGGAAACACAAAATTTTAGGCAAATTCGTTGTTGAATTTTTCCCATGGTAAAAATCGCGTCCTTTCGCGTCGTAACCAAATAGCTGCTCAACAATACTTATTGACATATGGTGATCAAACTTCACATAATCATAAAATAGGGTCATAGCAAACCAAAAAAAAAATTATTATCGATTATGTTTACGAAATTCAAATGGACCATTCCGAGTCAAATTTCATCAGATGACATTTCTTCTTGTTTTAATTAGTACTATTATTATTTTTCCCAAAATCTCGATCAACTTCTGTATAGAATCTAGGCAACTTAATGTATATATGACATATCGGACAACTAATGCATATTTCTATAAATAGTGCAATTATTATATGTACATACACTTGAATTACTTTAAAAGTACAAAATTTTATCAGTGTAAAGCATGAAAAGCTATTTAAGTTTAAGTGTTGAAATATAAAAGTTATTGCTCCTTGGTGGTCTAATGTAACTCAAAGCAAAAAAGACTATGTCATTTACTAAAACTAAGAGTAATTTGTAAAATGTAAATAGAAAAATTTATTATAAAACAAAATGTAGTTTAAGTCAATTTTGAGAAAAACAATTATATATATATGCGTATGTATATGCATTGCGTCTAAACGCGGCAGTAATAAATGTATGTAAATGTGATTGTAGTGCTTTTTTTCGCCATAGCGTATTGGTGTATCTTGATTTATTTATGTTTATTTAGTTAAATATATTGGTATATTGTTAGGGGTTGGACTGAAATACCACTTTGGTATTAATGACGCAACAAGTGGGTAGATGAATGTCCATTCCATTTTAATTTTTACCTTTTCAAACACGTTTAACAATAACAAGTAAGGAAAAGCTAAGTTCGGGTGTCACCGAACATTTCATACTCTTGCAGCTTGCCAGGATAAAAGCCAGGGAAATACATTAAGGTGCACACGGTTTGTTAGAACAAATAAAATCAATGATATGTGGTATATGATAGTTTGGGTAACTTGTGAACCAATTTCACATATTTTTTGCATTTAACTATAGTATATCCAATATTATACTTCCAATAAATTTTGCTAAGGTATCTAACTTATTTGCTGAAATTTACGATATAAAGTCAGCCAGTAGTTCAAAAATCATTCCATTAAGTATATGGGGACTAAATTCATTATTGACCCGATACAACCCATTTTTGACTTACAGGCATATAATTATCAGAAAAGGATTCTCTTCGAATTTCTATAACATATCTCACATATTGACCGATATTTACGATCAAATGTTCGCAGTAGGAACTGGGGTCCACATATTCAATATATGGGGGCTTAAGTAGTTTTAGTCCGATTTAGACAATTTTTAATAATTAGGTCGCCCAGTCAAAGGTTCTATTCACGCAAAGTTTTATCGCGATACATTTATTGGTGCTTGATTTGCATACTGGAAAGTGAAAGAATCAGATGGAATTTAAATTGTGTTATATGGGAAGTAGGAGTGGTTGTAGTCAGACTTCGCCCATTTTCGCAATTTAACATAGAAATATGAAAGGAATGTTATCCACTGAATTTAGATATAGCAGATCCCAAGATAAGGGTTTTCACCTAAAACTGTCTAATTTTGAACGCGGTTCCAATAAAGTTATCTCACACCATCCCAGAGATAAAATTTAATGTCTCTGGTATGTATAGTGCTTGATATATCGCGCTTTTATTAGATTTTAACAGTACCGTTATATGGGGAGATATGCACATTAAACCTATTATGAGGCGGGACCACGCCCACTTTTAAAAAGATTTTAATCTGCAGATGCCCCTAACTAATGTGATCCTGTATAACAAATAACTCTTATATCTTATTGTGGAGCTAAGTTATGGCAATTTATTTGTTTATGAATAATGGCGTTTTGTGAGCGTGGCAGTGATCCGATTACACCCATCTGAAATACCAACCGTCTTACGGTACCAAGAAACATGTATACCAAGTTTCATAAAGATATCTCAATTTTTACTCAAGTTACATCTTGCACAGAGCGACGGACGGACGGACATACAGTCACCTGGATTTCAACTCGTCTCTTCATCCTGATCATTTATATATACATTACCCTATATCTAACTCGATTAGTTTTAGATGATACAAACAACCGATAGGTAAACAAAATTATTATACTCTATAGCAACAGGTTGCGAGAGTATAAAGACTATTGCTAACATATAATAGTTTATCAAAACATTTACCTTTTATTAATCATTTACAATTTTATGAAGAAAAAATTTTATATTTTCGCCTGATTTTTCTTCAATGACTATTTATTTAAATATGTCTATGTATGTATTAACTGTAAATAGGTACATATTAAATTTTGCTATAACTAAATAATATCTACATACAAACATATTCATACATAACGTTACAATATGTCCAGACAAGCAGCACCCTACTAGATATAATTGAAACATATTTATTAGTTCTAATCTAGCATAATTTAATTTATTAAGGGACATATTGTAAGTAAAATTAGACTATAATAGTTAAACTAATAACAATGTAATGCGAAAAATACAAAAGTTTACTTGGAATCAATAAAATTTCAAAATCTTAAACACTAGATCTTGTGTATGCTCCTTATTATTCAATGAAAATGAATGGTGAAGACTGTAACGGAACGTATTAACACAAAAATAGATGTATGCTATTCACAAATTCGTGGGCAATTACCAAATCGAAAAAATCTGGTATACATCGCATAAATTAATATAAATTAATAAATATAATAGCAAGTTACACGATATAAATAAGGTATTCGCATTCTCCATGTTATTGAACTCTATAGTATAATGACGTTAATGTTAAGCAGTCGACCAGCGGGAGACCCATATCAAGCCTGACATAATGTGAAACTCTCTCAAAACTTTCTCTGAAACGCGTTGCCTGAATAAGTTGCCAGTGATAAACTCCCTAAAAGTAATTGACTAAATCAGTGCGAAATAAAATTGCAATGAATGGGTCATTCATAATACCGAATTATGTGCAACTAAAATATTTTAGTAATTTTTTGAGTGAATGTGAAAACCTATTTGTATTTAAAATGTTCTTCATAAAATTGCGATATTATGAGTTGTTTTTTTGTTATGTATATATTATTATAATTATAATTTTTTATATCAATTTTGAAAATTTTTAATTATTTATCAACGTACTGATCTAGTATTTATTCATAATATTAATGCAGGTATTTGGGATTAGGTATGATATGAATCCATTGGAGAACCGAACTGAACTTTGACCGGTCTCTCAAGAATCAAAGAGTTTCATATCATGTCATCGTTGATCATATCAAAGCTTCTTTGGACTCGGACTCTACTTTTTTGGCTTCTTTTTCATATATTTTGAATTAATTGGAAATGCTTTTTGCTGCCGACACTATTGTTTTGCAACCAATGCTTAAAGATGATCGGCTAAATTGGTAACGATTTTTTTTTTTTTTGACAGGAGAGTAGACCTTACATATAGCAATCAGAGAAGTGTCCAATCACCTATTGCTAATATCAATATTTTGATGTATTCAATAAGTATATATTATAAAGATGTTACTTCGCGCTTGCTCTGCAAATAAGTCAGTATTTTCGTTTCGGTTATAAGGCTAAAATAGGGGTATTAAACTAAATTATTATCGACATATTACGAGCCCAAACTACAAGAACTTGATTTTAGCTTATTGGAAATATTGGAAAATTCCAAATAGTTAAGTTCTAATTTTATTAGTGTTCTAAACAGCGACTACTCGCAAATCAAAGAAATGACTCCGTAAATGGCCCGGTATCTATAACATTTTTCAGTATACTGTTAAATTTACAACAAAACGTTTGATTACCTAAAATAAATATATCCTGCGTTGATCCAAATGTTTAAATAATATTAATTTTATTTTTTATTTACTAAAGATAACTTACTTTGAAAGAATGTACTAAACATTTTGAAAACTGCTCGATTATAATTTCTGCATGCTAAACGTTTAATACGTATTAAATACAAATATTTCTCTTGTATGCCTTGATAAAGTTCGCTAACTACTTTTTTCAAAGAGCGGAAATGTCAGTGAGCTTATAAAAGAAAGGATAATTTCTATCTGAAAAGTCCCATTAGACTCTATGTAGCTATGACCTCCAACTTTTGTAACGATAAAAGTCTTGTTGAGTAATATTATATACTATATATGGTACACGGTAGTTTGGTTAGTCTTCATGTACCCACTCATACAAGCGCGAAAGGTGTACAGAGAAATATTTAACAGGTTTGTATTCATAAGACCGTTGCGTCTTCATCCCACGGAAGCACAATCTAAGGAAAAGTAAATATAATATAAGTCGTACAAAGACTGCCTAGTGTGTAGAAATCATTTCATTTACATACATATGTATAGGTATGTCGTATATACACATATTGACTGCGGATGTCCTTGCAGCCGTGGTGAGATATACTTGTATGTATTCTATGTATCTTGTTGCACATGTTTATGTATTTTCATTTATTTTTCTTCAAATATGACTGTATATGTACATATGAATTGATGCTTGCTTTGTATATGTGTCATTACATCCAAAATTTACATTCAAACATTTTTTCGTGCAAAACATTTTTTTTTTGGCTTTTGAGGCGAAATATTGGACAAGTATTTTTTCATTTCGATTTTTGAAACTGTTGTTATTCAGTTCTTTTATTAAAAATGTACATTATGATGTTTAGTCATGACTGTAAAATTGACAATATAACTTTTTAATCGCCATCATCCGCACTCCGAGCGTGCGATTGTTCGGACTACACTTGTGAGAAAAAAGCTCACAGCTCTGGCTGATGTATGTTGGACTATTCATGACATACGACTTGATTTAGTTTAAGAAGTACTCGAAAATTGGGTGCATCGAAATGGTTCCTGCAAAAGAAGTCGTAGAGGCAACTTGAATGATGTAATATTCAGAACTTAATAATAAAGTTATTATTATTAATTCTTTTTTAATCATATCAGGATCTTTTTGGAAAATCCTGTACAATTTGTGTGGTTTTGGAAGAAGTTGGCGGATTTGTTCAACTAAAGAAATTAGTGCAGTATACCAAATTTATTGATTTTTATATAAAAGTAACCAATATTTCAGAAAAAACCTCAAATTATTGAAACTTTTGGCATTTGACAAGACTTTACATAAATTAAAATTAGTATTAAGTGGGATATCGTTTTTTTAGACAGCAGCACGACTGTACGGCAGCAGGCTTGAAGTTGTCCCAGTCGCTAAAATAAAACCATTTCTAATTTTGCCTACTATAAAAGGCAGCTGTAATGTTACCGCTAATATGTATGTGTAATAACAATTACTAATTTAAAATAATTTAATCGACCTATTTACTTATTTTTTGCACAAAAAATATCATTTTGAACAAAATATTTAAATTTCATTGACGTGAAAGGTTTTAGTACAGCAACAACGAAATTGTGTACATCAGCTGTTCAATATGTCGCTGTCGTCTTCAAAATGTTCAAGAAACTGTTGATTCCTGTAGAAGTAACGTTTCAAAAGCAAAGCCCTTTGCGAAATGTGATGATCAAATTGCGGGAAATCCATTTTGAACATTAAATAAACAAGTATTTGACTTTATTAACACAAAATAAGAATAATAGTATATAATTGTTGAAGTTTTCGTGATCGAGTCCTCAAAATACGAATATTTTGATGTTATCAGAATCGTTTATGAATGCTGAAGAACAAGTACAAGTACCAAAATTGGAATTTGTTGTAAGATTTCCACGTAATGAAATTCGAGTTTCAGGTGTTGCCATTTATCGTAATGAAAAGGATAGATATTAAGTTGTTACTCCTAATTTGAGAATAAAAGCTTCTTACTCAAGTGTGACTGGCGTCACGGTATCAATTTCAGCAAGAATTGGAGACTTATTTGCAGTAAAGTGCAAAATAAACCCCAACGATACAATAGTAAGAAATTAATTCTAATAGATATTTATATATAACAAAATGCTGCAATCAGGGATATCAAATTATTCATCTCAAAAGCTTTGTTGCCATATAGGTTCACAAGCTCTGGACGGCCAGAAGCTGCACCATTACTACAATTCCTCAAAGATAAGTTATCTTTAGAAATGATTAATGGTAGGAATGATCCTACGACAAAAGGGGGCAAAACTATTGATGCAATTTTCGCCAGAAAAATTTATAAAATAGAAATTAAACATTTCACATCTTATTTTCGCTATCATACTCCACTTGTAAATATTATATTATTAATAAGAATATAGCGACCGCTGAAAGAGAAAACTAAAAATTTGTTTGTCAAAAAAATAAAAATAAAAATCTGCATTTGCCAAACACGTTGCGTATATTGATTTAATGTTTCCAATTTGCCTTAATGAGGTTTCACTTCTTCAGAATAGACGATTTTCATTATTTTTCGACAATTTGAGCACCTTGGACATCAATACTAACGGTTTGGAACAGCATACTCATCACCATATTATGGCGCTGCAGCTTCTTGTGAAGTTTGGCCTACTGCACATGAGATATCTCGGTCATTTGCGGTTTCTTTATAATTTGTTTTATAACAATATAAGCAGTATACTAGATCCATCTATGTATTTCAAAAATAATAGTTTTCATTTTACTCGACCAAATATAATATTTTATTCAAAATAATTGCAGTTGTCTCAGAACTCTGCCGAGTTGACAGTCCTTGAGCGGATAAAATCCGGATCTGTTCCGGTTACGTAGACCCGACTGTCGCGGGAACGGCTATACTTTGAATAAGCAAACATAAAAACGCATACGCATACGCAAATAATTGCAGTAACTAGCATCTGTCAAGACTTTTGGCCTCATTGCATGCACATTAATTAGACAATGGCTGGTTAAAATCTCCATGACCAAATGGCCAAGGTCGATATTCAAACAACAATAATTTTTCCATCGATCTTCATTTTGTTCACTTTAACAAGTGCTCTTCATAAACTGTACCACTAGGAAAGAACTTAATATTATTTTAGTAATAGTGAAGTTGACTAAGAAGGATGAACATTTATATACACGTTAAGAATGTATTTATCTTTAAGTTTTGGCTTTCCTATTGTCGTTATCCGAATAATAGTAGAACTTAGGCTGAACGTTTTCGAAAATATGGGGTGTCCAGCACACACAAGATCCACTTACCTATTATTTGTAATTAGTGTGGCATTAATGTGCCGCAAAATCGATCTAATACCTTTGTCTGTTATCATACCAACAACGCTGCGTACCTTATTTAAAATGAGCCCTCTATACATAAATATTTTATCAATTAGCCTCTCATTTATAAACGCTGCATTGGTGTTTTAATTATGGATAATTAGTTAGTTATCACCGCATGCATACATACATACATATTTGAATATGCGCTATGTCATATAGAAAATATAACGGGTGATCCAAGTAGAGGTACTTCTTCCAATGGCCTTCTTTTGACAGATCACACTTGAGTCGTGTCAAGCTGTCACGTTCCTTTTGTCCAGTACTGTTTCGACGTTTTATCATGGAAAGACTTACACTTGAAAAACCTTTACAAATCGT